TGTCCCAAACCAATCTATACTGATAATGAATAAAAATATTTTAGTCAACTGCAAAATTTTATTATTTTATTAGTTTTTGTGTGTTTAATTCTTTATATTTAATCTTTCATTAAAATAATAATATAGACATTAAAATCATGACAAACCAAAACAATATTTTAACCGAAGACGAAATAAAAGAACTAATTGGTAATTTAAACCAAAATCCAAGTGAAGCAAATATAAGAGCAGTTAAAGATTACTTTTGACTTCGCCCTTATGCATTAAAACACTTAGAAGACAAAGAATTTAGAAAAAGTTTTGTTCACCTTATTTACATGCATCACAATACACTTGATTGATACATAAAAGTTGATAAAGAAGTTAAAATTTACAACCCTTAACAGCTAATTTAGAGCAAGAAAGAAATGAATTGCTTGAAAAAACTAAACAATTAGAAGAAGAACAAAAAGTCTTGGAAGAAGCATTAGAATTAGAAGAAAACATTTCTAAATGCCATTTAGATGCTCTCGAAGTAGCTAGAAAATGGAGAATAAGGCAAAGCAAAGAAAAAGATGACAACTTAGAAAAAGCTTCGAAAAAAATAGAGATGCTAGAGAATATTGTGGCATGGCAGAATTATTTAATGAACAAGCAATCTCAAGAACTGCCAACTTTGCCAAAGAAATAAAACAAATTTAAACTCCTAATTAACCAAGTAAAAAGCAGAATTAAGCAAGTAAAAGCAATAACTCAAGAGAGGTTCAATACTTACATTTTACAAAAGGATAAATAATGAAATTAGAATATCAAGCTATCGAGTTAAGAAGAGGAGATAAATGACATTGCAATTTTTGCTCTTTTGAAAAAGAAAGAAGTTTAAATGCTACTTACAAAATATTATCTTACAATACCAGCAATAATGATTATAGTGATATTGCTTATATCTGTGTTGAATGCAAAAAGGATCTTGATGATGATGCTCTACCACATTGTAATGACTGTGGTCGAGCTATGAGAAATAGAATAGATTGCTTCTGTGATTTAAGGAAAGATGAGCCACCAGTTAAAACTCCAACCATAACAGAAATAATGGCTCAGAGTTATGTGGGTAGATTAGAACAACAAAACAAGGATTTAAAACAACAACTAGCCAGTGCTAAGGAAGAAATCAGTTCTCACTTGAAAGCCTTAGATGTTTCAAAAGATTGACATGATAAACAAAAGCAAGAATTATTGGACAAAATTAAAAGACTTGAAAGTGAGGTTGAGTTTTTAAGAAAACAGCAGACCCAACATGTTGCTCAAATTGAAGTTAAGGAAAATAAGAGATGACCTTGATTAAAAGTAAAGAAGTAATTGTTCTTTTTTTAAAATGCTTCTAATAGTGTTATAATTCTTGGGTTCCATGGTGGATTTAATGTAAATTAGTTTCATATATTTATTTTTATATAGAGGTAATCCTATATTGCTCCTGTTATGGTTTATATTCCTCACCTTCTGGTATGATAAAGTGAGCATTAAAATTAATAAGCCATGAGCACATTATTACTTTTCAAATGTCATCAGTCACCCTGATCAATTTTACAGCCACATCACAGTCAGCCCCTCATTTATAGAATGTTCACTTTGTCTGGTTTTGTTGCAGTCTGCCCCATATATTATAATCATATCATATCAAACTAACTGTTTTATTAACTAGAATAAAAATAATGGCTTACTAGTAATATTTAATTCTGATACTTTAATTTAGCATCAACTGAAAACTCAGCCAAGAGTAATTAAAAGGAAATAATGTCAGAAGAAGAGTTTTTTATTTTACAGTCTGAAGGAGGCACAAGTGACAGAGGGGCAATGGAAAGATATGAAGGACTGGAACTGCTTGCTTCAGTTTATATAATAACTAAGGGTCAACCAGATAAACTTCTAAAGCAGCTGCAGTGAATGAGCCGGAATTACTTCAATTTAAGGGTGATATGATAGTAGGTTCCTGCTACTGTTACAGAAGTAAACAATTGGCTTCAAATTGTTCATAGATGGATGAAAAATTTACATGGAGAAAACAGGTAAAAAACTGAAAATGGACGCAACAAACAAAACTGGAAGCACTAGCTGAGAAAAGTACTCAGGTAAGTCAGTTGTTATGTAATCTATAAATGTATTCTACTTTTATTTAACATAACATGTACTATTAGTCTCAAGTTCAAACGAAAAAATTGTGATTCTGAACAGTCATAATTGATGTTCTAGTAATATATAAATTATTATTTTTTCAAAGTCAGATTCAAGCATACATACTGATGAAGAACTGGAAGATTCTGAGAAAAGTAAACCATCAACTAGTGATGCATTATATATAGTTGGAAAGTCTACCACCCGGAAATTTCTCCCTCAACTATCAACATGACATGTCCAATGACAACAGACCAGCCAAAGAAATTGACCTACGTAATTACAATCCTTAGTCAGAACCAAGAATCAAACCAAAACGTTACTCTCTCCTACAATAACAAAAATAAAAGACAATAAGCATCAAAGTTATACTTAACGACAACAAAAGTATCTATTACTAGTTATAATCAATCCGAAAAGGCGTCGGAAAAAATAATCCGAGCCATGTTTGCAACAAATGACTAAATTTTAAAGTTGTCAATTATCAAAGAACGATGTTAGCGATTTGCTAACTGTAAAGAAATGTATTGTGGATGAATAATAAAAAGCACATAAATTACTAAAGAGGGCCCATTTTCCATTATTCTAATCAAGCTTATACACGCACACTACATTAAATCGACGTTTACTAATATTAACAACGCGCAACGCTTTGTTGAGTTGCCATCGTCTAAGTCGTAGTTACGTTAATGCATGCTACTTTTGTTGCAATTCGTGCTGATAACAATATGCGAGTTATCCTAGGCTATTTCATTATGCAAATCAGTGGATAAGCGGATTCGATATTCTCTGCTGACAGAGTAAAGCTTGTAGATTGCGACTCTTTATCTTGGAATACAGTTCGTAAAAATTCCACTAAGATTGTTCTGGACAACATTAAAGATCTTATGTTTGGTTAAGAGATTAAGCCATCACTACTGTTACCGATAGATACATTACACAGTTCCAACAGACACTTCGTACAAATATGCGTTGTTCAAAATATGCTAATTGCCAGGAATAATATTACATCTATTGAGATTAGGTGTTTACTATTAGGGAAGCCGAATTACTTCATACAGATCATTACCACAAGTAGTCGGTTTATTTACCAAAACGGCTCTATCTTCAATACGTAACTTTTGTCTATGCCAGATAATTCAATTTCGATGGATCGTCTTTATCACGTTCAAGATATTCACGATCGATAAGTGATTCTATACGCTTCTTAATGTCAGCAACCTGTCGAATAAAAATTGCTTCATTTAGATACAATGTCACGTTAAATAATGACAATCGATGAAACCATTTCCTTACTGTAGCTTTAAATTTGAGTTGTTGAAACAATTCGGTTATTAGTTGACTATGGCTAAGTGTCTTCCGCATCTTCATTATGCGTACAAGAGCAGCATCCACTTGATACTGACGGTCAAGAAATACGCGCTCTGTTGTAATCGAGTTTTCTTCAGGCTGCAGGAATAAAACAAATTTACAAACCGTAGTTAATAAGTCGAGTTGTTATAACTACAGCCAGCGATTATTAAATCTTATATTTTCATCTCCTTACCGTTTCCTTCAATTGTATTGCGTTAATCTTAATACGGAACAATTTGTCGTCGAATTCTTCGTTAAATGAAAATTCGTCTGACTCAGCAATATCACGTCCTTTAGGGTGCTTGGTCAATACACGTACTTTGCCACATGCTAGTGACTGAAGAGTGCGCGCCAACTCTCTTGCCTCTGTACAATTAATGAATAGTACATAAGTACACTATAACAAGCATAAATACGCACCGCACACAAGAAAATAATACGTGCACCAGCGTTCTCAAAAAATTATTAATAGTTACCTATAGAAGTACTTTCTTTGATATCCTCATATGTCAGCCGCTTGCCTGGTTCGAGATCGTTAAAAAGCAATAGTACGACTGCTTGAAACAGACTTACTACCAATTCTTTGTTTCTCTAGTTCGGTTCATTAGTTTGTTATTTATCATTTATAATGTTCCTAGATATACGTACGGGGCTAATGTCTATTACTTACCTTTGGAAAATTAGCTGCCAATACACAGAGACCAAGTGAATTTTGCCACTTTAAATTTCTACCATTATGTTTGCTTAGATAAAACGCCTTAAACACTTCCTGAGCCCGAGCCATCTATGCATTATTACAATTTATTAATACAACAACAAAACGATCATCATCACAATTGCTGAACTCACGTGAGGGGGAAGAGTAAGCGGTGCTGGAGGATAAGTAGGCCAAAAACCTTGCGTTAACACATTCACAGATAAATCAATACGTGTCTCTTTCAATTCCGACCAGTACTTGGAATCCTGAAATAAAAATCAATGTTAATACAACAGACTATTTCTTAGCGATATTACCATCTCAAGTTACCTGGAAAGACATCATAATATCCCGTGACAGGTCAATGTCTTTAAACATTCCCTCAAGCTTCCCTGTGAACCCAGCGCCACATTCTAAGAATAGCAGAAACGTATACAGTTGAATTTGCTTATTACGAGATACATTAACCTTGTATTAAACCATATGCATTGTACATACCCTGTTTAAGTTTGGATAACATGCTCTTCTCGGCATCAGATGATGCACTCCTGTTTAAAAGAAGACGCTTAGCGAGGTCCCTTTTGTAAAATGCTTCAAAAATGTCTTTGCCTATGTGAACATACAATTGTACTTTTAATCATCATTAAACCCATCAAATAATTACTCCCATCATAATACAAACATACCCTGTATATATCTGAATAATATAAGCACATTATCCAATACACTTTCTAGTTCATCATCATTCATACTCTTATTGCCAGATCGCAACTTGCTATCGACATATTTTGCTAATAGACAAATAGTACGAAATGTAATGATTAAATAATGTTTAGATAAACGTAATTTGTATTGGCATGACATTATTACCTATAAGTTCTGCCGGTTTGTTCTGACGCTGATTTATAAACGATTCGAAGCTCTCCTTCACGGTGTTGACGAAATTTTCAGTTCCTTTGAAAGCATCCTTTACGATGTCGTCTAATTTGAACTTCAAGTCTAGGAGATCTTGCACCATTGTAGAATCACGACTCTCATCCATGACTATACCAGCTCCAGTTTTCTTCAGCATGCAATGTAAAAGAACGAACGAATATCAGTTGAGATTAGCATAAATACAAACACTAAATTTATCTACTGTTATGTAGTGACCGTGTCAACATACCCTAATATACATTCCAAAGGCGGTTTTCAATCGATCTGATGCATTAACCCGATTGAACAGCATGTACAAAAGTCGTAGATCACTACTCTTACGGTAATTCATCATATCATCAAACCCTAAAATAAACAAATAGTGTAAATTACTCATTTTCCGATCATTACTATTGGTTTCTAGTATGCAACGCCTTAACCTCACCTTTATCCAAGATGGCACTGATATGGCGCTCAAGTAATTCGCCTTCAACAACACCAATCAATGGGGTTTTTGTCTTCTTATCAAGATACACAATTATCCGATCCTTCTCTTCATCCAGCCGTCGTTTGACATGTTCGAGATACTTTGGTACTTCAAGTGTATTCATTAAACGCTGACCTTCTTCTGCGTAAAAGTCATGTGTGTCCTGTAGAAAGGGAGCTTCGAAGCCCTGTGTATATATTGACAGGTCCACATACATATGAATGAGAGAGACCAGCAAACTACGATCAACGGATTCACCAAGTCTATTATAAGAGTGATGAAAAATTACAGTTTCAGAATAAATGCATACAATATTAATGATATCAAAGATAATTTGGCAGTCATGCCATTGTCATTATATACCGTTCGCGATGTATTACAGACAACAGTCCATCTAATGTCTTCCCTCGCACATCAACAGCTGACATTATGTGTTTTCGGAACAACTCTAGGCCCATATCCCTTGGAAATATTAAGCCTAAAACATGAGACATTTCAACAACGAAATAAATCTAGTCTATAATAAGTAAAAAGAATCGAGTAATGCTTACCATAGTGATATTATTGATGAATTCTGGAGAACGTATGTGCGATCCAGATACAAGAATATACTTCGAATCAAGGCCTACAATATGGCGAAACATATGTTAACGATTAATCCGTTACTGAAGAGTTGGCGTATCGTCGCTTGCTCTTGTCTCAAGTTTGAATATAAAAAACTCATATATTCCGCCAAATGATCTGACGCACATCAACGCTAAAGCGTCTCATTAGACCATGTAAATATTTTACCATTACAACGTATATTTATTACCATTTGTTGTTGACAATCATTCCAACACTGATTCACTGCTACTAAAAAAGTCTCTTTGTCACTCTCATTGCTATAGAGTATGTTATATAAATTATTAGTATGAACGTAATAATTGAATACCTTCTGTCTACATAACGGCAAGTCAGCCAAGAATCGTACCTTCTCAATTTCGCCAATTCTTCTATTATATGAGATTCACACTCCTTTTGCAGTCGTTGATACAACCTATCGGCCATCTTGTGCAGACATAGATTCTCACATGCTTTATACAACTCCTCAAGACTATCGTTGACCGGTTTGCTCGTATGGATCGCCCAAACGGCGGCTTGTAGCTTGGCCCATGTCACTTCTTCAAAATTGTCTGGCAACTTTGGCTTCACTAATAGGCAATAGAAGTCATGATCCATTCAATGATAGTCATTGGACATCACGCAATGATACAACTCCGAATATTATATACATATCGGGATGCGTAAGTTGCAAGAGCGTTAAACTCGGATCGAATAATCGTTAATACCTTTAAAAGTTCTTATGACCAACTTTTTGGTAGGCTGACGTTGAGAGATTCCGGCATCTCCGGGATAATTTATCTGGTTTTTATTCGACGACAGGCCAAGGTCTTCCATGCGAGCACGTTTTGTCATTTGCTCGTCGAAACGCAGTCGACTGTACTTGTATTATATTAAGTGGCCTGTTAATGCAAACTTGTATCTCTTGACGTGTGAGCGAGCTCTTTTGTCGATAGCGTAAGTGGATGACTGATATGATTCGCATCGAATCGTTAAGCTATTTTACGTCACACACAAATTGTTAGTATATTAGATCACGTGATTACATTGAAGTGAGACATTCTTTAGCATTCTTCTTAGCTTGGTTCATATATATATGATGCTATAAATCGTAACTAGCTACTAATTACTTCTGGCGCGAAACCAACTTATCATGACGTCAATGGAAGTACTTTTAGCTGTAATTAATATTTTGGTCATATTGCTGATAATATGAAAGTTCGTGATTGCGCCTTGGACAATTCGCGTCTAATTAGTTTGTGTAAAGCGTAATTTTAATAACGATCTTACTCGCAACCCAGAGAAGGTTTATTTTTTAAATCAACAATGCGTACGCAAAAATATTGAGAGGATTGTCCGTTTTCTTTTTGGGATGATCAGCTGGTTGGAATCTAATTCTTCGGTTCTAGTTGATGATGCTTTGAAGAAAAACGACAAGCTAGGTCAGAAACCCTGAAAGATCCCTTTCTGCGTTGATAAAGTCTGGCAGAAAAACGTTACCAGTAACCGTTCTGGTGTTGTATTTCTTGGCTTAATACGTGCGTAGCCGCGTAAAAGGATACATTCTGATTCAAATTAGATAATAAAATACCATAAATAATTTGCAAAACATCGCGCCTCCATAATATTCTACTTTCCCAACAATACCAAGACGCACTATAATACAGACTAGGCTTTATCTTATTCTCAGGAACCCCCGCACATTCATTAAGAATGTATACAGAACATCTCGAAAAGATCCAACATCTCGCCTACTTAAAACAGTCTCAGGTAATGTGTCTGGTACATTCGCTTGCAGCGTCGTAAATGCATCCCTCAGACGATCTTCAAACTCGCGTGTATTTTGCTGAGATACTAATGTATGCACAAGACCGTTATATGAATTCTATTTATAAAGATGTGAGCAAAGTGCTTATTAATAATTGTTATATTACAAATTATGTTGAATTATGCACAAGCGTAAATTACCCTTCGCGCACATATTAACGCTATCAAAGCTTCAGCGGCAGGCTCAAGCATATCGGAATTAAATTCTTTGAATAATAGACAGTCCATAATCACGCTCAAAAGCTTGTCCAATGGTGCATGTAAATGCTGAACGGTTGCTGTGGAATTGCGCTTTCGTTCTTCATTATGGACAAATAGAGCCAACGGCGTAATAGCTTGATAGGCAAGCCTTGTTACATCATATATCGGAGTATGTCAAGAGTTAAACAAATAAACAGAAGTTACAAGTAAAAGTACAACGCATGGTCAAGAGCATATAAAAGGATATTTCTCAATGCCATATTCCAGTGAACCCAATATATGGGTTAATAAGTCTTGCGTGAGGTTTCCTAACTTGTCAGGATAGAACTCGACGATATGTGCTATTAGCTTTACATATTCCTTACATAGCTTTGGTAACTGTTAGAAGAAGAATTGAACAAATGAGCATATTTTATATTGGAATCCAAATGCTGAAAAACTCTATATATACCTTTAACATTTGTAAATTTATTAAAGGTATTATAAGATTGAGACCATACAGAACGACGCTAGCGACGTCAACATCTCCTAAAGGCTGTTTCCGTGATGAGACATCCCATCCTATAAAAACTTATGAATAAGAGAGGCAGCACTACCAAATTGCTACATAATTAAGCAGTGAGCTTACCACACGCCTCAAACTCTGAAGCCATTAGTTCTGATAAAAGATCTAATAACAGGCATATATCTGCATACGGATCGTCCTCCTCTTCTTCCAAACATCCAATTCGTTGTCTACCTACACATAATGTATAACGTTAGTCTGCAAACATTGAAGATACATATTTTACTTGGGAAAAGATAAGATGAATTCAAACTCACCAGAGTTGGCTGCAAAATAGTTCTTAAATAATTCAATGACGGCGTTGTAGAGAATTTGAGACTGCTCGCTTGACAATTTCCCGAAATCTTGATACTTCACAAAAGAGTCAAAGAATTGCAATACAAGCAATGAAACCTCATAATAGTTTTGATAGATATTTATGAGTTTAATGAATGACTCAAAATATCTTGCACAAAATTCATAGACGAGAATGCAATTTAACATATTCGAGCCCATTGCAAGACCGTCAAACATCTATTGCATGAATGAATATTCTTTGATGAGTAATAAGAATGAACTATTTAAATTTACCATAGAATTGCTTACCTCTAGCGTATTCATAACATCGTTAATGAGTTCTCCATTATGATACACCTGAGCTAAATCTGGTCTTTGCAACACATTGATAAACCGTTTCTATCGGAAAGATTACTTGCGTGGTAAGTATATTATCATTAATGATACGTATTCCATAATATCTTTACCTCAATAGTATTTGTCACCAACTCGAAATATTTTCGTCGTATTCCGTCATCGGGCGCTCCCGAAGTTATAACGGTAATTGTCTTTATCATACCGCTGCAATGATTATGGGTATATTAGCTAAATATATGTGATACGATGATTTGTAAATTTGAAAAAGACTCACCTGTGTGTTGTAGGAGGAAATTCGTTAAGATTGTCTGTGAGATAAGAAACCAATGATGGAAACTTGTCTAAGCAGTAAAGCGTTAACAATCTAATAGTTGCTTTAAACAAATACGAAAGAAGTTCACATTTTAATTTACCTGATTCCAGAAGTCCGTTTCTCAATGCCGAACGTTTACCAAAAGAGTCGAGCGTACGAACGATCTACTCATATACATTGTATAATTGCATTAAATTAAGTATACAATAATTTGTATTTCAAGTTTATGACTATTTCTAGAATCATACCTGGATCAATGGTTCAGAGTCTGCACTCCAAAGTTTGAAATTAATTCGTATCTTATCTATTAAGAAATCGAGAACAGCCTTGCCTTCCCCAAACGATGACGGTCTGCCAAACGCGCTGACAATGTTCTGACTTCATGGATCAAATAAATGCGGCAGACTAAGTTTCTGTAACTAACATCTTGGCAGACTCAAGGTATACTCTTCTCATATACAACTATAACTTCGTACCTCATCATGCTATGATCCTTCTCATCGAGTAACAGATAAGTGCTTCCCCATCGTTCGACAAACCAGAACAATGTCTCCGCAACTCTGGGGCTACAGTGTGATGCCTATTTAGATGTATCTTTGAACGGGCACATTTCTTACCGAATAAAACAACGCATTTATTATAAGTTAATATCTAGTATGCATTACTCACCTCAATGGTCGATGGATCCAGTGAGACTAATTCAAATATACTGAGGATTGTCTTTGTTAGAATGACTACTTGATCGAGCTCTTTGCTAAGATTAGACTGCAATACAAGAAATAGTTTGTGTCAAACATTTCATACTAAAAGAATATCCGGGTTTTATTATAAATCTATTCGCATCTACTTGCCTGTGTCATGGATAACTGAACCATAGAGTCCGGGACAAGAGGCTGCTCTCCTTCGCCAGAGTCAGCTAACACAAATCCAGAAATCAGAGTTAACCAATGCGTCGTTTCATATAAATAGTCCAAGCTGTTGTCTATAAACGAACATATAAAAGTATTGTTATTATTCTTGATGCCAAAATAAAGTTGGTTGACTAGTAAAATTTATGATTAAATACGATATTACTTTCTTCCCCAACTCCTGTACCGAAAAATTTCTTCAAGTATGTTGTCCGTTCATGCAGGCATTGGTAGAGTCGTCCAATTGTTCTCTCGGGCACTATTCGAGCAAGAATAGATATACCTAAAAGTTGGTCCTCATAAGTTTCCTGTAGTGATAATTAACAGATTGGCTTAGAAAGTTGTCGAATACATTTCTCCGTCATATTAACTTATTAAGTCGATATAATCGTTAATGTAATCCGGAAATCCACTTAATTTATACTATACCCAACACCGCCAATCATAGCCCTACCCAATCCTTAAATCCTTCGAGATCCTCGTCTTCTTCCTCGACTAAATACTTGGCCATCTCCAAGCGTGTTTCAATATACGTAGCCGTGATGTGGTTACAAGCCTCTGCAAGAAAACCAAGCACGCCCGTAGTGTCGAAAGAAGACTGACTCTGATAGTCCATTCCTCTTGAATACGTTGGCTGGGATGCGCAAAGTTCCAAGGCATTTTGGACTATTAAAAATGTTATAATTAGAATCAGTCATGCAATTGTGTTCACTGTTACAGTATTGATAAGTACAACCCGTATTTAATACGTACCTAACATAACCCAAACAGCCAAAAGATCATCGAAGGCCTCCATATACCACGTTAATTCATCGACCATGTATCCACTCCTTACAGGCTCCCTGAGACAGGTAGCACTAAGCTGAGCCACGCTATGCAGAAACTGGCCCGCTTCTGGCACAAAGCAGAGGATGTTGAGTGGGATGGTGGTCAGTAGACGGCGGATCATTTGGGTAACACCCAAAAGTGTGGGACCGTGTGTTTGTGGTTGAATTGGAGTAGGTAGAGAGTAAGCCAGAGCAAGACTAAATATTTGTAGTAAAATTTAACAGAGAAAAAGTGAATAAACTTGTCATTCAATAAACTCCAATGGTACCCAAGTGCACTTAATACCATCCCCCCGTTCCTTACTCATCCATAAGCTTCATAAGTTGTTCTATAATTATCGATGCGTATGCCTTAAATTGTTCAGTGTCTTCAAATAGTTCCCCATGTAACCCCGAAAGTTGTATCAAACACTGGCGAGAGCGGTGAGCGGCCATCTCAGATCCTTGCACTAGTTTGTGCAGCTGTTTTGGCGAAAAATTTAATATCCTGTTGTAAAAATCTTTTAATGATTGTCTGAAACACATACCGCAAAGAACATCTTTAATACATCAGGATTGGTTAAATAACTCCTCCACGACGCTGGAAACTCAGGTGTCATAGCACTTTCAAATAATTCGTCTTCTTCAATTATCTCGCCTTCTGCTGCAAAGGCTCCAGCGAGCATAATGCCTTCCTTCTTTCTTTCAAAATTCCAACTCAAAATCTTGTCGGCCAAACTGAAGCATATTAATAGCAGTGGATCTTGCTTTGGATTGAAGGAGGGATTAGAAGAGGATGTGGTATGGTTGCTAATACGCGTGTCATCAGCGAGTGTAGTAGAAACATAGTGTGGAGATTGAGCGTGTGTTTGATATTGCCCATGAAGAACGTTAAGAAGAAGATCGAAGAGCGGGAGGAGGTAATTAGACTATAAAAAATAAATAAATTAGATTCAATATTAGTAGTAGTGCCATTGATTTGTTTAAGAATGAAGAAGCAAAACATATAAATTTTAATTATACGAGGAGTAAATGAAAGCTATTTTCACTCTCCATCGCAAAATTTATATCAGTAAAACGTAAGAAGAAGAAACTCTACAGAACATCAAGCTTACCTCAAAATATTCCTTAGTCCTTTTATGATAGTCCCATGAAACACCAACTCTGCTCCCCCGAATCATTCCAAATTCATCTACCAATGCTTTCCCCAAACCAATTGCCAATTCACGTCCCCATTCACTCACACCACACAACTCTCTCATTTGATCCATAACTTTTCGTTTTTCCTGCTCGTCGTAATCCTCAATTCCCCTTTTGGTGAGAACTGCTATAGCATAGAGAAGTTGTTCTCGGGCGTAAGTTGGGATGGATGGGCGCTTTAGCAGATAAGTGAGCAGATAGATCTTAAGAGAGGTCAGGTCAGAGTGGGAGTAGAGTAAGTATTCACGGGAAACGGCTGTAGATATTGCTGAAGCCATGTGAAATTGGACTACGTGACTGGATGTGTGATCTATGGAGTGAAATTGGGTAAAAGAGTTATGGCCAAGTATGAGGCACGGATCATAACATCTGGTTTACGTGTTAAATGCGGTAAATTATGTCGTAATTAAAGAAACAAGAGAACAAATGGTCTTGTAATTATGTCTGTGATTGTTCACATTTAATAACTAATCAGCGGACGCCAAAAGTCACAATTGACTAAAGCCAGTTTCGAACTCGCGTCCAAACAATTATAATCTATCTCAATCTCTTCTGATCCACCATAATCAATGTTCTAATTTTTCCAATTTTCTGAACCCTTCTCACTTGTGCTATCATACCCAAGATGTATTGACATGCAGCCAAGTTGCCTGATGTCTGTCTAAATTGTAGAAGAACTTGTTCTCCCGCATGGCGGGTGGCTGGTACCTTGATCGCATCAAGGGGATGAGTTAGATGATTATTAACAAAAGTGAGTAAAAAGCAAAAGTAAATGTATGAGGCAAATGCACATTAATACACGTAATGTGCCATACTATCTCAGACTTTCCGTCCGTTGCTAATATCACTTTTTTTTATCCACAAAAATATATATAATGTTACATAAATTGTATGTGTATGATATGTTCGTTTACCTGCATATCAGCACAGGCTTCTTCTATCTGCTGAAATATCGTTCCGTAGTCCATATTGTTAGTTCAAACTTGTCCGAATTATGGAGCTATAGTTATAAACTGTATCACGTGTTTGTTTTGTCGTACAGAATTTGATCAGCAATTACAATGTGTTAGAATGCATATATATTAATATATATCATTGAACTTTGGGGTCAGTGGCAAGTTGTTAATACTAATACTGATATGGGGCATAAAACCAACTGAAGACATTGTTCCTAATTTCGCCACGTTGTTGACATTGTGCATTATACCTTCATAAACGACACGTCAACCGCAAGGTGTTCGGCAAGATTTTTAGCTAATCTTTTGTTTTATAATAATAATAATAATAATATAATAATAATAATAATCACTTGTACCTTCAACCGCCGATAACGGATTAAAATACACTATTTTTGCCCAAGTTATTTATTTTATTGTTTCAAAACCATTTCTCGATATTATTCACAAAGTGTTTACAATAAAATTTATCCGACCTTTTGTTCCTGCTCCATTTGATGATTCAAGGATAATATACATTTTTTCATGCAACGAGTCCGTATCATTTCACTGACAGTCAGTTCACCAACAGTTCATTTCGAAATAAAGTTGATTGTGTCATATTTCAAATTTTAGTATTACATAAATATATAATATTATTATTATTATTATTAATATTAATTAATATTGCATGTAAAAACTATGCTAGCTCATATGGGGCAGACTGCAACAAAACCAGACAAAGTGAACACATAAATGTGAGGCTGATTATGATGTGGCTGTAAAATTGACCATTGACCAACGTGACTGATGACGTTTTGAGTAATAACAGTGCTTATTCATAACTTATAGACTTGTTGATTTTAATGCTCACTTTATCATACCAGAATGTGATGAATATAGGATTACCTCTATATATAAAAATATTAATATGATTTACATCAAATCGACCATGGAACCAAAGAGCTACAGCACCATTAGAAGCATTCTAAAGAAAGCCCAAGGAGAGAAAATTGCTCCCTATGTTTTTAAAATAAATGACACCAAAATTCTTGAGGAATATCTAGATCAAGAAAAAATCACTTATGAAATTTACCAAGAGGAAAGGAAAATCATAACTAATAAACGAGCATTAACATCAACACATGATAAACCAAGAAAGAAACGAAAACGTAAGGGAAATAAATTTAACGTAAAAGCTTCCCACCAACGCCTCCACTGATTGTCAACGAAATTGCTCCTTATTGATGAAGACTGCTCGATGTCATGGATAAGCTCTAACGTCTACGTATTCCTCCGAGATTTCCGCTCCGTTACACAAACCTAGGTTCTGCGGTCAACGATCGACAAGTCCTGCGGCATATATTTCTCCAACGTAACACGAGTCCAATCACATACGAAGCTACAGATCGGGCCAGCTTTGTGCGAAGCTACAGAAATCGACTATATCGGGCTAACAGACGTTGGTAAAAATTAAAACATTTGTAATTAGTGATACTTTCCCGATTTATATCAAATTTATCAGCAAATGTGTTAGACAAGAACAGTTATTTCAGCGCGCCGTTTTCCTTCATCATTCATCATCTTCAGCTAAGATTGTCCACGGATACCATTATTACTTTTATTCCTTTATCATTCGAATATACAAACGGTCCTTAGAATAGTTCTTTATATTCTAATAAAACTCTG